AGGCCAGAATACATATCAGATTACGTGTTGAAAAATGAGATTGAAGATTGAAAGATTGAAGTTGATTAATCAGAACAAAAGAAACCAAAACTTCTTTGTCCTCATTGATGAAATTTCAATCTTTAATCTTTAATCTTTAGGCTCAATCTTCAATGCATAATCTGATTCCGGCCTCACACTATGCATTATATTGGAAATTGAAGATTGTGAATTGAAGATTATAAAATTCAGCCAATCAGAATAAAATTGATTAAAATTAAAATGATCTGAATGGTTGAATTTTAATCTTTAATTCGCAATCTTCAATGCGAATACGTATAAGTGTGATGCGAACTTTAGACTTTCGACGAACGCGCTATCAGCATCTTTATTATTTATCAAATGAAATAAGGATTCCGTTTTACCATGATGCACATTTTACTTTTGTTCACCGAATATTAAAGAATGAAATAATTAATACATCATGCGTATTATACGTGAAACGGAATGTGCTCAAGAAAACGCAATTTTTAGTAGATTCAAATCCGGTCATATCGTATATTTTTAACACGGGGACTTTAATATAAAGAAATAATTTGGAAGGAAATGTAATGTATTTGTTCAAGAACACTATTTAAACAACAACGCATTAACGTAAATATTATTTAAAGAAACATATTAGGTGTAGTAAAAAGTCATCGCGTTTTTTTAAAAAACATCTATCAGTAAAAACCGCAATTACTTTCTTACCAACAATATAAATATATCTTAATAGAGTAAAGTTTCAGCTTTAAAAATCTCTTTTTTAAATTATACGATACGACAATTTTTAATGGAGTTATGAGCAATTAAAGTCAAAATAATTCTTTTATTTAATCCGCGATAACTCAGTAATCAAAAGTCGTAGGAATATTAAAAAAAAACGATTTTGTAGGGAAAGTATCAAGCTTTCACGATAGGTAATCGAAAATTTTCTCAAATTCGTTTTGGACACGTTACAAATCCACAAAGTGAGAAGAAAATTTTTCGTCTTTTTCAGCTCGTAGTTTTTGGTATGTAAAAATTATCAAACTCATATAAACTTAAAAAATGTGATAAGCTTTTAAAAGTAGAGATTTCAAGCTTTAAAACCCTTTTTTTAAATTTGAATTTCATTCATTATTGACGAAGATATTATATATACAACTTTGAGCTAAAAAATACGCGATGACTTTTTACTACACTTAATATATAAAGAAGTTATTTTTAAGCAAGGGGATACTACAGTCAAACTTTTTAGCGCAATATATAAACATTGAAATGAGAAGAAAAAATAAGGTATAGCTCATGATTAGACCTGTTATTTCTTTCTGTTTAAAATTTGATAACAAAGACTATATGGATAACCGCGGATCGAACGAAAAGTTAAATATGAAAGAAATTTTTGAAAAATTTGTGGGGAATCATGTTAACAACATGTAAAGGTATCTTTTTAAGCTGAAGGTTGATGCTTATTTTCAGCATCAAAACAAGTCACAACTGATATTTGTCAGTTTTGATTACATGTTCTACTTTGATGCTAAAAATAAGCGTCTAGCATCAAGCATGAAATTGTACCTTAACCCAATACATTGAGTGCTTTCCATTTGATAACACAAGTTGACACAAGTATCATTATATCTTTGTCACTCTCTCTGAATGTCAAGAAGTTTGTCATCAAATGAAAAGCACTCTTATAATAGTAACGTTAATTTAATTAACGTTACTATTAATTAATTACAATTCATAATTAATTCATCTCTTCTTTATGTTTAAAAACTTTATGTTTATCATTAATGTAACGTTACAATTAATTATATATATAGTAATATCGCAAAATAATCTTTTTATTTTGTGAATTATATCTCATCATGTGCTAAAGAAGATAATACACAGTTAATTAAAAGTGTGTTTCGTTTCACGTATGACGCGCGTGATATATCACTTTAATCCTTGTTATTCGACGAACATTAAAAAAGGCTCAAATATTGCATCATCCCACGACTTTCTCTTGACTTAAGAGAAAAAAATTTGTTATGAACGCTAATCTTATTAGCCATATAACGGAAGTTTCATTTGCAAATATAGGGATCGCAAATTATACTTGCAGGTGTAACAAATATTCTTTTTTATACTCGCTACAAAAATTATTTGCAACAAATGCGAAATATTTGTCAAATATGCAAATTTGTTTGCTATAAGCAGCAAATAAATTTGACAATTAAATTTTGTAATCCCTTTGCGTTTACAGCAAAATCATTTTTCTCTGTGTGGTGTGTTCTTTCGGATGCGCACGCATCATGCGTGAAACAAATGTATTAATTTCGATTAACATTAGAAGAACCGGTCAAATTGGCTCCCACAGTTTTTTTCTAGATAGACAATTAAATACAAAATCCAACCATTTTATATAATTGAAAATTTTTTTTACTAAAATTAAGAAAATGAAAAATGATAAAAAGTCACGAAAGGATAGCCACGTGGAAGCAAAATTAAAAAAAAGTTATATTAGTTTGAATTTCGCGAGGAGCCAAATTGGCTACCTCGGTCCTTTTAGTGTTGAATCTATTATTAATTTGTTTTTTTATTACAACATTATAATTTAACTATATTTCAAGATTATAATTAAATATTATATTATAGATATTAGGTATATTTAATAATATAAACAAATAAAGTTTTGTGTAAATCTCCGATTTTTAGTACATGTGTGTCCGGTCACTGAAAAGTTTATATCTTATTCTGTATATTCCATTTTTCAAGCTTCGTGCCGATAGAAATGTTTACTTGTATATTTACACAATATATCACTAGTATCGATTTTTATATAAATTAACTTTAATCTCGATTCAAATTATTCTTCATCTTTTTCTAAACTCTAGAACTAAAAAAAAAATAATAATAAATAAATAGTAATAAGTTAAACTGAAATTAAAGTTAAGCTACGCGTTGGTAGAAATAAACATAGGTAATTCTAAGAACTGGAAAAAAGGCCGTAAATTAAATCAAGATTAAAGTTAATTATATTAACATAAATGGACAGAAACACATGTTAATTCAATCTCACCGAAAAAAGAAGCTCACTCAGAGGATATTCAGTACTGGCATTCCAAATTTCCCAGAACTTTCTGAGATACAACTGATGATTGTTGACCTGAGACAGTGTAAATAAGATAGCGTGGAATTTGAATCCTTTTTCAGCAAGAATTTGTCTGCACAATAGGAAAACTCGTGCGCATGTGTGAAATAACTTGATTCATTGACGGAGCAGACCAGTATGGGTGCCTATAGGGGCTCCTGTCCACGTGTACAGTCGTGGACAGAATAATTGCACTACGTTTTTTTTTTCAGCGAATCGATTTTTTCACAACTTTGTTTTCAATAAGTTTCGGAATGCAATCTAGATAGAATGCAATAAGTATCGGAATGTAGTCTTATGGAGCCAAAAATAAGAATCAATTGCTCGATAACCAGGCACTCTGAAACTCATTGAAAAGACGTGTTACAACTGTTCTATCTACGACTGGACTGTACTACTGATGGGTGATATATGCCAGTTGCTAACATTGTAAAAGAGAAGCAACCCCCAATCCCCCACCACGAGATGGAACTCCACCAGCGCTACCATGTCTGGACAATTCAAATCATAGTATAAGAATAAGAGTTTTTATTTCATCGATTAATCAATCGCATTACGTGCAAATGTAGCTTTTACATAGATAAAGTTGCAATACGTTTAATACAAGATAAAGTTCTATATTGTTTTCCATTTACACATAAGTGAAACTGAGAGGCTGCGCACAATGAAAGAAATGGGGAGCAGGAAACAGAATGAGAATTTCAACCTATCAGAAATCATGTATTGTGGAATACACAGTTTCTGATTCGCAACCCCTAAGTCTAAAGTGAGCCGAGTATTTCCACATAGATGTCTATACTAGTACTAAATTGCTAACTTCTTAGTTGATTCACCGACAAGATATTATTAAAGACTGACATTCTTACGGGAGTTGGCGTCCTTGAGGATATTGAAGTAATTAAGAGTTAAAAACTGAAAATACTTTGCAAGTATGCATATTTATTTATAGAACATTTATATAATAAAAAATCATGAATTTAATAATGTATGAACCAAATATTTATATTAATAATAGCAAATTTATATCAATTGTCGATAATGTCAGCATTCTTCAATTACCTCCGGGCCCTTGGGGCCCTTTTTACACCGTCGAAAATTTGCCCAGGGTTGACAGTCTTTAATAGTATCTCATCGGTGGTTGATTTAATCGGCGGCGACAGTTATGTGATATGTATGTGTACAATATGTGTATGTATGGACAAAATGATTGGAACGGCTATTTAATAAACTCAATCGGATATTCGGCCATTTACAAAATTGACCAATCATCTTCGAGTACATCTTCTCTTCTTACAGTTGAATGAGAGGGGAATATTCTAAAGTGATTAGTCAATTTTTACAGATTATGGTATACGGTTACCACCAATATAAACGCTCCCTAAATTTTTGCTCTCTCTATCTATGGACTGTTCATGAGGTTGAAGGGTTACAACTGTGAAACGCGAAACATGGACAATATTCATAGTCCGTTTTTATTTTAAAACTGTCTTAAATATAATGTCTTAAGATATTAATACAGAGTTCTCGGATTGACTTACATCTTAAGTTTGTACTTAAGGGCGATATTCATAGTCGATTCTTACATTCAAGACCGTCTTAAGTACAGTCTGAAGATGTTACGAATACTCCGATGTTAAAAATGAGCATCAAACGTCGGCATGAAAAGGCACCTTAAACCACTTTAACCAACTGATCGACGATTAGTCCATAAAAATTGTATTTGTTATTTCATTTAGTGACAGATACAATTGGCCAATTCCAATAGACTAATCGTTGATTAGTTAAGCAGAATTGACGTAATGCATCCATAGAATGACTATGCAAATGCGTGCCGTCGTGTGTTATATCACCTCTTATGGCGGGAAAAATATGCGTTACTGCGCATATCACGCACTTGTATCGAATGTGATTGAATGATTAAACTTGACGATTTATTTTAAATCGCGTGTCAGTATAATCTAAAATTCTGCATTTTAACTTTCGACGAATCTCGCAATGTCTGATGTTTGAATCAAAGTACGAAGAGTTAAACAAGTAATGCAAGGTTATCCACAAATTTTTACATAATGGGAACATTTCACGGAATTATCTACGAGAAATTTACACGCGGAATTACTTACAGAATCTTTGCATCAGATTCTTACTTTTTCAATCGATAGATGCTTGATTTTCGCATCAATATCTTGAGAAATATCTTGAAATATCGTTCCATTCGATATAGAAATATTTGTAGTTTAACTTCGTTCCCAGTAATGCACCTTTAGTTATTTCATGTCATGTGCGTGACTCGAGATAAAATTATTTAAAAAAAAATGTACAGCTTATCATTTCTTGTACGATTACACAAGTGCATCTCGATGTTCAGTTTGCTGAAGAGAATGACGCACAATACATTTCTGGGCCGTTCCGCCTATGTTAATGGATCCTACGAGGTAAATACATTTGATAATCGCCTTTTTTCTTGTCTCATAATTTTCTATTTTAATTTATTGCATTCATTGAAAAATTGAAAATTTTTATTATAATTAAGAAGAGATAATTTATTTTAGTGAGATGCTTTGCATAAAATCTAAAAGTTTAATTTAGAAAATATTCTAGTTACATTACTTAATATATGTATTATATGTATATATATATATATACATATATATAGCTACATTATTTAATTTTATTACAATTATTTTTCAACATTTAATTTTAATTTGATTATTTTTTTTATATTTTTAATTTACATTCATTTTTTAAAAATTAATGTAACTCAAGCTTATTTGTGTTCTATATAGTGGAGAAGTATTATGATTATTTAATGACTGTTGCATTTTTCTTCAAAGAAAGAACATTAATATATATAACGTATATAAATGAAACATTTATTTATAAATAGAATAAGTATATATATTATTTTTTTAGGAAGCCATAAAAGCATTAAGTCTTACTTTACAAAGCAATACTGCTTATTTACAATCTGTTAAAAATGTAAATGATTCTACGAAATTGAAGGAAGTAGAAAAATATTTACTCAGGTAAGGAAGTTATCAGTACTTTAACATTAATAATTAAAATTAAAATTTAAGTAGATTATTTTGTTTATACTTCAATGAATATTTATTCCAATAATGAAGTTAAATCTTTATGCCCCTGTTCTTTCCCATTAAGAACTGCTTAAAAAACATACATTAAATATAAATTTTGAATTAAAGTTTGCTTTTTTGATATAATTTTATATCTATTAATTTCAAGTCCATTATTACAGATCTGGTATTACTTTAGAGCAATTGAATAGTCTGTCTGTCATCCATGTGGCAGGTACCAAGGGTAAAGGTTCGACATGTGCGTTTACGGAGGCGATTCTGCGACAGCATGGCTTTAGTACAGGCTTCTTCAGCTCGCCGCATTTGGTGTCCGTGCGGGAACGCATTCGGTTAAATGGAGAACCTATCAGTAAAGCACATTTTACTCGTTTCTTTTGGAATGTATATCAACGTCTAGAACAAAAACGGGAATATGAGTCTGACATGCCAACATACTTCAAATTCCTAACGATTCTCACATTCCACGTGTTCCTGGAGGCAAATGTTGATGTAGCAATTGTTGAAGTTGGAATCGGTGGCGAACTAGATTGTACCAACATTCTGCAGAATCCGATTTGTGTGGGTATAACGAGCCTTGCTCTAGAACATACCTCACTGCTGGGCAATACTCTAGAAGAGATCGCTTATCAGAAGTCGGGAATTTTCAAACCCCATGCGATAGCTTTCACAGTGCCGCAACCAGAATCGGCGATGCACGTTCTACAGAAACGAGCCATAGAAAGAAGATGCCGTGATTTGCGAATAGTTTCCACGACCGAAGGTTGTAAGTGGAACGATGTTTTCTCGTTGGCAGGCATTGATATTAAAAGTGTGCAGCAACAGAATGCTTTATTGTCGATCAGCATAGCACACGAGTGGATGAAATCACGTTACAATCAATCTATTGTAAACGATAAATACATCAATGGTTTTTACAATCTCCAAAGCGAAAAGAATAATTTATCACAAATTATTTCTCCAAGTAAAGTTGCGACTGCATTGATGAACTGCAAATGGCCAGCTCGCATGCAAATTCTAAGGACTAGTGTGGCAGATTTTTTTTTGGATGGTGCGCATACGATCGATAGTATCGTTAATTGTGTATCATGGTTCAAAAGAGTCAGTCGGGGAACCTCTAGTAAGTTCCTAATATTTAATATCAGCGGTGATCGAAATTCTCTGGAATTACTAAAACTGCTGAAACCTTTGAATTTTGATAGAGTTTATTTTGCTCCAAATTACTCTGGAATAATTAGCGTGGAGGATTTATCAAATTATATGCTACTCGATGAACAGAGAAGGAAATGTAAAAAACACTGTGCGTTGTGGGGTGATAACTCTGTGTCGAAGAATACCGTTGCTGAAGTACTCTATGACATTAAGAAACATATGTCATCGCAGATGGATAATAACGATAAAGTAGAGGTACTTGTAACGGGATCGTTACATTTGAATGGCACGGTATTAGCTATTCTGGATCCTAATTTGTCAATGACTAGTGATTTTTAATCTAATATAAAATAATATTGAAATTTGACCTGTTAAGATGTTTACAACCATGACGAAGTAATTTTTGTGAGAAATACAAGATCTGACATATTAATACGTCTATATATATATAT